ATTTATTACATATTGTAAAGACTTATGCAATCTAGGACTCAGCTTTTTTGCTACTAAATGCTGCCTGTGAATCACGCAGTGAATGACCAGTACGAAAACGCCCATGCAGCCAGCCCGTTCGCGGGATTCGAACCTCGGACCGAACTACCAGTGTTCAGCGACTTTACCGCTCGGCCGCTGGTGGGCCCTTATAGCGGCTGCATTTAAGGCGATGTTCCACAGGGAAGTGTGCCCATCCTTTTCATTCTATACATTTGTGACATCCCTCACGATCCCATGATTCAACTCGTTCTTTTTGCTGATGATACTGCCATCTTGACTCAAGCAGCCAACTTTAAATATGTTGAAACTCTCCTTCAAAGCTGGCTTCTTACTCTTGAAGACTGGTATACCAAATGACGCACTGCTGTCAACATGCAAAAATTCCGAAAAGAAAATTCCAAGAGAACTCTTGCTGCCCTCATCCTCTTTGGCGAGCCAGTAGAATGGACTAAAAATACTATTAATCTTGAGATAAATCTCGACAGCAAGATCACTTTCAAAAATCATTTCAAGAAAGTTCATGAAACATTTAATTATACTGTTTGCAGTATGTTTCCTCTTTTTAGATGCTACAACAAGCTCTCCATCAAAAACAAGTTATATTGTACAAGTCTGTCTTTCGTCCTGCTCTCCTCTACGCATCTTCTATTTGGAGCAAAGCTGCCAAATCCAATCTTCACCAGCTACACATTATTCAAAACAAGACTCGCTATATAATCGTTAATGCCCCTTGGCATATCAGGAACTCTGTCATCCACCATGATCTTAAAATTCAATATACCAATGACTACATTAGAAACAATGTCATTAAGTTCTATCTGTCAGTCAACACCATCAAATCATTTATATTCAACTAAAAACACTATCCCTTTCCACTGGAAAAATACGCTTATCCTGCTAACACTCATCATTTCTCTTTTCCATCTCTTCTTTGGGTCCACATATCTAATCAGTTTTGAGGTTTGCTCTGATATTGCCTCTGCTTGAATATCACAAATTTTAAATCAGACCTGCTTAGGGAATTTTCTCACCATCTTTTGCTGTTTTCCTTAAATGCATTCTTGCTGTTCAACTGATGAATTTTTAAAACTTTACTTTGTAACATATACGGAGAAAAGGGAGCTTAGCTCTCGTTACTCCATTAAACTTATGGTCAAATCAAAGTGACTTTACTTATTGACGCTTGCTTCAGACACAGTCCAGCCCTTCTATTTTGGGATGTCGAATCATTTTATGATCCTCATGCCACATTTGCCTCCACACTGTAACTTCCTTTGGGTCCTAAGACAGAAATATGTTATACGCCTTTATGGCATTATTTATCATTGATCCGGATACGTCGCGCCTTGCGCGATATTCTGTTTCGTTTCGATTTCAGTGACTTTGTGAATCATTTTCAAGTTTTCAACTAGGAAATTCTTCAAGAAGATAATATCATCAGTTCTGTTGCTGCTCATATTATCACAAACTGTGATCAGAACTTCATCATATAAGTTTACCTCAATGGTAGTTGCGTCACAGTATATTGTACTTGTATGATTTTCATTTTGATTAATTGTTATTTATAGTATGTTTATTATTGTTACTTGTACTCTTTTGTACCATCATTTCAATATTTTGATCATTTATATTTGCATTTAGTAATCATGAAATTTATTCCACCCAGTATAGTCTGTTTCCCGGATTATTTCTGTTTTTACGGAAAGTAAGATTCTCTTCTATGCTTATTTTCGACCTCTTGGTCACCCCCCCTTTTTTTTCCTCTTACCCTTGTCTCCGATTTCTCCTCTCGAGATTTTTCCATGCCCAGAACTTTATATTGTCTTGTGCCTCAGTGCATTATTTCACGGAGCAAGCAACGTTGCTTGTGTGCTATAGTTGTTCGGTCATAAAGCGTATGTCTATGTCACATTCCAGTGTTATAGATGTTGCACAGTAACAAACGGTTACCACTTTCTCTTTCGCCTCAAAGCTTCCGTTCTCACGGACTGCACCCAATTATGATCATTTAATTTCACGCGCCATACGGGCTCTATTTCAAACGAGCTGATAACGTCGCGCCAGCGATCCTTCACTACTGGTACTGGTCTGAGGGGATCATTTACAAGTTAATTCAGCGTAGTTTAAACGCAAATTGATTTCTCTTATTCACTCTTTTCTACAGCAGCGCACCTTTTTCGTAGCTCAAGAAAACGTCATCTCGAAATTTGCCCGCTGCTCTGTGTTATATTTTGGACTTTCCCCACCCAGGCCTTGAAAATTACTCGTTATTAGTTTGTTATACCGATGATACAAGTCAATTCAGGCTTCAAAACTAGCTCCATTGAACAATGCTATGAGACTTGGTGAGTGAAAATAATCACCAGCAAATCGCAATTACTTATTCTTTCTAAGACCAAAAAGAGGCAGACCAACTATAAAAATTTAATGAAATTGTACATATTGTTGACAAAGCAAAATATCTGGGAATCGTTATAAACCAGCGTCTTACATGGCATGATCATGTAAATAGTGTCTGGAGCAAAGCAATGGGTATTATAAATATATTTCAATATTGGCAAATATTCAAAACCGAGTCTTAAAATTAAGAAGTACATTTATACATCCTGCATTAAGCCAATTCTTTGTTATGCCCGTACTAGCAGTGTGACAAAGGGCTGACTTTCGAAGACTCTTACAATGATTGATAATGAAGGATTTAATATTGGCTGTATGTGGTTCACAGATGAAGCAAACTTCCACCTGAATGGATTCGCAGATAAAGAAAATTGGCACTTTTGGAGTTCCGAAAATTCCCATTTGTGTGAAGCCCAACTACTGCATTCTCCCAGTTATTGTTTGGTCTACAGTAAGTAGCAGAGGCATTATCATCCTTTTCTTTAATACGACAAACAATCAACAGTGACCGTTACATTGCGATTTTAGAGCAATTTGTCGCCACACAGTTAGGGTTGGAGGATCAACCAGGCACCGACTGGCTTATGTAAGATGGAGCCCATCCACATCGCACCGAACAGGTGTATCGCTTTCTTAACGAATACTTCGAGAATAGAATCAATGCATTCGATTATTATAAATTTACTGGTGCAGGCATGGATTGGCTTCTATATTTGTCCAATCACACTCCTTTATGGAACACATTGAAAGTTATTGTTTACTGGAACCATCCCATCATGCTGGGCGAGCTTGAATCTATTTCCGAAATTTCATTGTTAATTTGCGCCACCTGTGTACTGTTTTCATAACTATTATTTCAAAACGGCTATGTAACGGTCTATGTAACGTCTATGTAGGTCTAAACGTCTATGTAGCTTTAACAATAAATATACCACTTGTTATATTCCTGTATCGACTTTTGTTTTCGAGATTTTTAATTTTGAAATCAGGGACTCTTTTGCTGGAAATCATTTTTTTAAAACATACACAGGAATTTCTCATTTAAAATGGTTAATTAATCCCTGTGACATGCTGTATTAATCAAATTAAAAATACTTTAATTCCTCTGTTTATATATATTTATCCGTTTCTAAAAATAAATGACCAACTCAAGGAAATTATCTTTTTTATTACATTAGCAAAGGACGTTTTTTGGCGGCAAACTTTCATTACAACCAGATATATAAGCTTTTGGCAAGTTAAAGGAAGTGTAGCATGGCTTTTCAAAGAAAATACTAATTTGAAAAATATAAGGTCATAAATGATGGCATGCTATCTTTTGCATAACTGAATACAAAGACCATGATTGACACATTCTTGGATGGGCTCATATTTGATAATGAACATTCAGATGTGTATTTGGAAGAACAAAATCTACAAGTTACTGAAGAGAATATCAATGGAAATACCAAAAACTTTCTCCATGGAATAAGTATTATGATACATGACTAAATAACATTTAGTTACATAGTAATTGATTTTTGTCAGTTTAAAAAAACATACACATATAAAATAAATAAATATATATATTTTAAAGTACAAACCTATTTTGTACCCAAAATAAAAATATCTGAGTACCTTTCCTCCCTGTTAATTTAAATAGTGTATTAAGGGTTAGTAATGAATACTAAAAATTTCCATGTACAGAATTATTTGTAATTCAATGAAACATTTTAAAAATTCAAATCAAACTATGCAACAATATCTAATTTTATTCAACTAAAATAGAGGTAATTCCCCCCACCCAAATACTTATTATATCTTCCTAACTGATAAAACAGGGATATCAACTAGGAGATTGGGATTTGTGCATATATATAAAGAAAAGTTGGCTGGTCCATAGTTGATTAAAAACAGTGATGAACACTTGTTAGATGAGTTACCTGGTTTATACCAGAGACCACTGCTGAAAGCAGTATCAAAACTATCTGAAACCAATAACTTGGTAAAAAGTTGCAAACTATTGGAGATGTACTTCAATCAAAATTTTTCACAAAGATGAAGGCACAGGACAAGGGGATGAAGTATTAATGTTAGCTCAGTTTTCAGATTCAATTTCATAAGATTTTTTATTATGGGCATTTGAAAAAGAATTATCTGTTAATTCCCATGATTTTTTGTAAATTTTATCACATATCACTTTTGCAAGATGGTCACAATATATTGAAATATGTACAAGATTATTGCATAGCTGAAGCATAAGTAAAGGTGCTCATCAAAGATTTGTGAAATAATGTAAAAAATGAAGTTAATAATAATAAAAAAATATTTTATTGAACTATTTCAGTTCAATAATATCTTATATTAGTTGTTGCAGTTAATTTTTTTTTATTGATTTAAAAAATATTTCACAACTGTAACAAAATTTCTAGTTACAGTTGGTTTTTTAATATATAACTTAACATGAAGTTTTAAGAACATAAAATATAATAAAAGGATTCTTATATTTCATTTAGTTACTGTTTTTGGAGAATTTAATTAAGCAAAATCCAGGACATTAATAATTATAACAGAAGCAAAAGTACTATTCAAAATATTTTATAACAATTGAATAAATACATTACAACATAACTAAGTTAAGTAATTGTTAAAACTTGTTGGATACAAAAGCAGTAAACATACATTTTATATAAAAAGCGTTTTTTACAGACACAAGATATTCCAAAAAGTTCTTCTACATATGGGATGGTTTGACCCATTTATATGTTCCTGAGAAACTGAAGCCAAATCTCTGAGTTAATTCATCTGCTTCTTTTGGTCCTCGGCTGGAAAAAATACAAAATGTCATAAATAAAATCATGTACCAAACAGAATTCTAATGAATGATTGAAAATCATGCTGTTTTCCTGGATTATTTAAAAAAGATTACTTGTATCATAATTGCCAACCTTGAAATACAAAAAAACTACGAATTTCCAGCAAATCTTTGCACTATACAATGCCACCATTTCAAAAGAATCCACACTGACTTCAGTTTGCTTTATAATGTGTAATGCACAATTCATACTATTCAACTATTTATAATATGATTCCGATGTAAAAATATATTTTTATTCAATTAGTTGCTCTAAATTTTATGTTCTTTAGCTAATTTCATTATGTAATTTTCTTACATTTTTATACTGAGAAACTCCAGTGAACCATGAAAGTTGGAGGATCTCCTGCCAAAATTCCACCAATCGTTCTTGTGGAAATGAAATCCTTTTATTTAATAAAAATTTACATTCTGACTCGCTTTGTTTCCGAGTTTCATGTAAAGGCTTTCAAGGATTTATATTACTTTGTTGAGCCCTCACATTTTACTGGAAGCTCTACTATCTAGAACAGTATGAGTGCAAACTTTTCAGAGGTATTCATTCCAATCTATTATTGCTTCATCAGCCACATTCAGCTAAACATATCATGTCTATTAATATGCATTTGTTTTGTTGGTAAGATCCCATAACTTTGAAAATAATCCACTGCTTGCTGTTCTGTAGAAGGCAAGTTCAGAATTTTAATCTCCCCTGCCCCGAAGTAAGAAAAATACAGCAGTAATAGTTAATTTATATCATTATTCAAAAAAGAACATGACTTATAGAGAATCAATTGAGGTTATATCAAATGAAAGTTGAAATGTTTAAAGAATATTGTAAGGTCACACTTATTCATTATTGGTGCTAAATTGCACTACTTGGCAGAAGTTTCACAGTCAATAGGATAATAAGTAAGCACCCTTGATTAAACACTGATTGAATCTTCATATAAAGTTCTAAAATGTCTAAAGTAGATTAAAACAATTCAGGGGAAAAAAATTAATAAGAAACATTATGTTGAAAATCACTAGGTATGGGGGAATGAAATTTGGACAATTAATATTTATTAATTATATTTAATTAATAAATTTATTGCTGGGAAAACTATCTTTGGAAAAGGCTAAAAAAATTTAAAACATGGAGATGTTTGCAACTATGTTATATATTTGAAATTTTACATTTAGATAAAATACTGTTTTTATATTAAGCTATTCAAAGGAATTGAAAGTGGAAAGAAAAATAAATAATAATCTTTTACTAAAAAAGCATTTATTTATAAATTTAAATTTCTGGTACTCATATTTTTGTGCAAGAAATACTAAAAATACATCTGCACTCCACAAAATTATTGTTATGCATTTTTTTTTATCTCAGTCAATATATAATCAATTAATATCTTTAAAAACATATATATTGTAATTTAAAAGGGTATACTAAACAAATTCATCAAAAGCATTTTATAATAAATGAGAAATTTAATATATAACAATTTTCCCAGGAGATTGGGTTTTCTCAATATCCTGTTAAGCAGAAGTGCATTTAACTTAACAAGCATTTAAAATTATATGACATATTTGCATATTTTTTCCAGCAGGAAAACATTCTACAATTTGCACATATTAAAACTGAAGCTCAGCACTTTGTTGCAAAAGAGAAATAATTTCTTGATCTAACAGTTAAAAAGTTTTACATCATTTTTGTAAATCTTTAAGATACAGAACAATTACATATAGGACATGCAAATTGATTTTGAATATTTATATGCATATAAAAGACACTAGAACTTTATTATGAATTTAGTTTTATAATTAAAAGTTTTAAAGTTTTATAGTTAGAGTTCATTTTTATAGTTAAAGCATGCTGCAGTTTTAATTATAAAAATGCATACTGTCTTTTCATTCAAAATATGAAAATAGCTTCTTCTTATATTAGAAACTTAATAAAGAGAAATTTTGTTTATTAAATATTATATATTAAATCACAAAAAATTCAAGGGCGGAAAAAAACACTAACCTTCCATATTTGTATAATGATGGTTTAACTTTTTCTTTTTCAATCCTATGAAGTAAAGGTGTAAAGATTCTCCAAGCTTCAGCTAGTTCATCACTTCGAACAAAATGTATTTGACTGCCACAGAATACATCAAGTATAAGGCGCTCATATGCATCAGGCATGATTAAATCCTGCAAGATTATATAAAAAAAAATTATTGCATTCTAATGCATTAGCAGAAAAAGATTTGAAGGATAAATGTTGATGCATCATAGCTTTTCAGTTAAAAAAGAAAAAAGCAATGATATGCAATTGTTTTTGATATAAGAGATTAGTCTCACTTTGATCACAATTTTAAAGCATGTAATAGTATTGTTGGGAAATTTTTCACCTTTTCGATAACATAATTAAAAAATCCTCTTAAGAGTAAAAAAAAGTTCCTTTGTTTAATTTCTTTTCTGCATACTCCACATAGGAAACTGCAATATATGGCAGCATCAGAACTGTTTAGCGTCTTCTGATGAGGCTTTACCTTGAATGTTTTGCTCCATGAGAAATTTCAACAATATGTAAAGGTGCAGAATCTTCATAAAATGTTCTACTCCATTTCAGGCATTATCTGATCCAATTATACTTCAGAAATTGTCCTACTACATTCTGAATCTTGTTGAGTTCCTGGTTGTACAAAATAAGATCTCCCCTCCCATTCACAGAAATATTCATACAAACCATAGCACCTTTAGGATGAACAATTGTATTTGATTGAGTCTTGGTTGTTTTGGTCATGTAATGGAATCTTGATTTCCACTTTGAATCTGATGGACAGATTTAAGTCGCCACTGCCATGAAGTTATATAATTTGTTTTTCCTCTCAAATTATTTGATTATGGCAAAGTAGTACATTGAAGCTATCTCCCTAAGAGGGAAGATGACTTCATGAAAGATTTTCCATGGAAAACTGGCTTATATTCATGTTACACATGAGAAAAATCATGAAAATGTCCACAGTCAACTTCACCAGAATTAGAATCTAGATTGAACTACCAGTATTCAGTTAACTTATTAGCTCGGCCCATATCGTTTTTCAGAGAACCATGTTCTCTCTCCCTTAGACACAGAAGATCTTTTCTTTGATGTATCGCATGTTCAGGAATACCACATGCAAGTTTGATAGTTTTAATCGGAAAAATCGAGGTGCGCGGTTTACGCAAAACAAAACAAAAAAAATATATATATATAGGCCAGGTAAACGCAAGTTGGTCGGCATAAATTATTTCTTTTCGAAGCTACAATATCCCCAGAAAATATAATATTATATGATGTTACTGTACCCTCTAAAATAATAAATCCTGCCCAGGGATTTGTAGAGGATATACCGGTACTTTCAACCAAACTGTTATTCTCTTAATGGTTTTTGCCAAACTTGGCTTCTTAGTCATTACATTGGCAGCAGCATTGAAAGAAAATGTACACGAAATGGATGGCCACAGGAAATGACACTGACTGGTCGCATAAAAAATCCCAAAATAACTTAAATCTGTGGATAGTTCAACGCTACCTGGGATGAAATTTCACAAGAACTTGTTAAGAGCTTCAAAAAGTGCGAAATATCAAATAACACGAACGGAACTGAGGATTAAGCAGTGTGGGATGATGAGAAAGAAGAGAATACCAGCAGTTCGGAAACTATCAGTGATGGCAGCAGTGCAGAAGGCGAGGAAGACTGACAATCTACATTGTGTTTCCAGATTAAAAAGGTGAGAGGAAGTGCCATGGTGTGGTAAGTTATCTGCCTTTGTTAGATTACCGGTAGATTTTAAAACATTACTTGTGACTTTTAAATCCATATTTAGTGCAATGATTGTTGCCGACTGAAGCTATTGTTTAATGAATAAAATTTTATATAACATACTTAGATTAGCAGTTTTTTCTTTCTGCCATAGAATTAAGTTCTCTGCTTACCGATTTATTCATTCCCATTGAAAAGTTACTGAATATGTGTTTCTAAGTACTTAAGCAGGAGCTGCAAAAGGTGCAGGTGGTAGCTCAGATTTCTTTCCCGATAACCATCAATCAGTATCATATTTCTTTGTTTCTTTATGTTCGTAACAAAGAGAAATTTTTTCCCTGTAAATTAAGCTTTCAGTGGGCTTGATGAAAATATGTGCACCATATTCGTGAACATTTTTTCTTTTTTGGTGCAATGAAATAATTGGGTGTGCATCTTATTTGGTGGTGCATGGTATTCGTGAACATACGGTGTATTTGACAGCTTATAAATTGCTGACTTTTATTTAGGACTTAAGCCACACTTGCTTATATTAGAGAATCTGAATTTCATGTAATTTTTCAGAGCCAATGTATTTTAAAAGTTTGCTTCCACTATTTCTTATTTTTAGGATGTACATCACTTTTCTTTTATCTGATCACAAATGTGATGTATATGAAATCAGTGTGGAAATTCAACTCGAGGGTATAAAATGGTGTCATTAAAATAGAAAACTTTAATTATTGTACTAATACAATGAACTATTATTCCACTGACAATATGTAAGCATGGCTCGATACTGAACTAGACAACATTGGACATGGGAAAAGGAAGAATCATACAGCAGAAATGCAGCATCTATTGGACAGGATCCTAGTCTACTTATGATTACTTGGAGACAAAAGAGGAAAGTTTTGATGTATTCTGTGAAGAGAATGAGCACCTACAGGCATAATAAAACAAAGACATCATATTGCATTGCAATAATGAATTGTGTTGTAACTTCTACAGCATCAGCCCAATGATGGAGAACAGTGAACCATCAGGTGATATCTGAAAGAAATGTTCATCAATAATTTCTTATTGAAGACTTGTAGTTAGGTGACCATTTTTGTAGCTTTCATTAATCTCCCCCCTCAGTGTTCATTGCTGCAATGATATACAGAACAAAGATACTGAAATCATGAATAAGAGCAAAGCATCTTCTGCAAGGTCTAGATACAATTTGTGGACATGGTCATACTTTTGTAGATTAGTGAGTGAAAGTGATTATGATGTTAATGATAGATATAAACATCATAGTATAAATGCTATCACATTTCATTTATGCTGTTATCTTCTGTGAACCGCAGACACTATGAATAGTCAGCATTTTATTTGTGAGGTGTTGGAACCAAAAGTCTTACAATTATTTTGGCTATGATGCATGATGATACTACTGCCCAAGTTGCATGGATTATTCAATGTTTCTTCTGTGACCAATGAGCATCAAGTCTTCAGCAGGCTGTACGATTGCCAGATTTATCTTTCATGTACCACATGCAGCTGATGTGTGTCCTATTGGCGAAATCAGATTGGCCTGTATGTCATCATGTATAATTACACTTGATGAGATATGAATATATTTTCAATCTGCATAGAATGACATTCTGTAGATAACCATCCAAAATCAATTATAAATGCTAAAGAGGGAGACGTGAAATATTAAATTTAGCATGCTCCTTCTGAGACAGAATTTCAATCATTTATATCTCACATTCAAATCAATACATATCTTTGTTGACTCACGTTTTTTTTTTTTTGGTGCAGCAGTTCCTCTCAGAAACATTTAATTCTTAAACATGTGCAAAGAGGAAAGGTTTACAAATTGTGAATTTTCTCATTAAGAACATATTGAAGAAATATGTTTCATTATAAATTAAATTTTCAGGTGGCTTTGTGCATCAACTAAAGCCAAGTGAGATATCACATGCATATGTTGATTATTTTGTTATAGTAACTGTCATGATAGAACCAGAAACTTTACAGTTCCTCGATTTTTTCTCTTACCTTTTTTGGCCTAATGAAACACTTTGCTGTTGTTTGCATTTGAGTAAAAATGTCATTTTCAAAAATTGAAAAGTATTTATGGTAAGATTTAAAAAAAATATTTTTTATAAAATAAACACCTACCATACTGATACTTGAGAGAAAAATATATATCAGTCATGACTCATTTTATGAAATCACTACTGCTAGGTGTATGGTGACTTGCTAACAATAAATTAATTTTGATTCATTATAGCTTTATTGCTTGCAAAAAATGAATTCCACATTTTACACTCTGTCATACACATGATCTTATTTTTCATTCACAAGTCGCTAACAGTAAAGCCTATTGTGTGAAAAGTATAACATGCTGTAGAAAACTATTCTCAGTAATTTCGTTTTCCGAAACACTGAAATATAAAATGTAAAAAATTATGATTAATTTATACATAACTATAAAAATCTGACACATAGAAAAATTGTACAGTAAAAAAATTACAGTTAAAAGGCCTATAAAAGCAAAGAGCAATAATGGAACAGAAAATCCGAAAGGATCATCCTAAAAATGTTTATGCAATTTGTATTTAAATGTCATGAAATATACATATACAGCTGAAATTTTTTCAGTATTCACCATTTTTTCCCTTCTAATGAAAGCTGTTGCTTATTAAAAGTAAATTACATTTAACTACTAAAAAGTAAATAAAAATAGTGAAGAACAGAAGTATTTACATTGACAACAAATTTACTTATCTAATTATTCAGAAAAAAATGAAATATTAAAGCATTTCTACAATCCTCAGCAAACAGTTACACAGCTTTTGTCAGCCCTTAATTTATTTCATGCCTTATGTACTTATAGAACTATCTGTAATCATACACCTTTGAGGTGAATCTTTCAAGTTCTTCCTTTAAGTTCAATCTCTCAAAAAGAATTGCAGCAAGTTTTTACTTACTTTGTACCTGCTGTTATAAGTAAGATCTAATTCAGTTTCCTCTAGATCAAATGACATTCCAGGCTTCTTGTTCATCATTTTAACATATACAGCCTCCCCAGGTTGTACCCTGATAACCAATTCATTTCTTTTACACTGTTGATGAAATATATCACCTGGAACATCCTGGAACTGAATACGCACTTCAGCTTTTCTTTCATTTAAAGCTAGAATTGAATTTTTAATGAAATGTATGAGTTTTAATGTATTTATTCATATTTTAGTCACACACAAAATACATTTTTCCACAAAAAAGTAATTTTTGTTACTCCTTTCTAAAATTTAGTTTCAAGGCATTATTTTCATTAACATGAATGAATCTTTAATTAATATAATGTTCTTTCAAATCAAATAATATAGATGCACATGTCTATTTATAACTACATATATGGTGAATTAGAAAAATAGCCAAATAAAATATTTAATCAAATAAAAATGTTCAAATGTAAATGCAAAAATGTTCATTGACATTATAAACTAATTATGCACACTGACAAATACTGCTTTGAAAATTAAATATACCCAATAAGGAGTCAGGTGAATAAGACCACCAACTAGTATCATCCCTTCAATTAGAATTTTCATTTTTACAGAAATAAATTGAATAATTTTTCCCAAATGGAAAAAAAAAAAAAAAAAAAAACATTACGATCCATACATCTTTAGAAATCTGCCATGAAAACATTTTTTTCAAGGCAGTGTGTGTTAGTACTGGGATGCTTCCATACAATAAATTATTTAACATAACATACCTGAAGTATTATTTCCCAGGACTTTCAAGTATGTTCTCAGTAGGTTTTGACAAAATTACTTAGAAAAGAATTAACCCTTAATTTGGCATGAATTTATTCCAACTGATTAAATATAAATATATTATATGTGGATCTAAAAAGTGTAGCAGTATTAATATACCTTGATTAATAACAGCAGAACATTATCAATTTTCTTGCTCATTTTGACCAAAGCCTGCATAATACGTAGTGTATAAATAGTGTAAAAAGTAATTAGATTTTTCAAAGCAGGTTACATGAAAAATGTAGAATGCGTTCACCGTGATTCCAAAGCAACATTCATATAATTCAAAATCCAAATGGTGTTAACCTTGTTATAATGCACAGATCTACCAACAACTCCTCATATTGAATCTTATTCATATTAATATATTTAGTGATATTTTATTTTGAAAAAAAAATTATTTATGCAAAATATCTTTAGAAGAATAATACAAATGCTAAAGCACTGTAAAATTTATACAAAAAGCAATGTTTAACCATTTGTAAATAAATTTTCAATAAATTTATTTACAAATGATTCATTATTAAAATGTTCAACCATAAAGTATTGGTATCAGATATGTAGAATAAACAATAGTTATCAGATTAAATTTTTATTATGTTCTGAATTTGCAAAATATAAAAATACAATAGAGGAAAATATGAATCTTCTTACTTTTACATCTTTCACAGAGGAAAGAGCTGTATTAATTAAAAATGCATATTTCCTTTGAAATTTAAAAAAATGTCATCCTGAAGAAAATTTAGATTGTGATACATTATCATGTATTCAATGTGTCTAATGTCAATATTTTGAATTTTGAATGTTAGGAAATTGCACGAATGTTTGTGAAAATGGCAACACCATGAAGGAATTATGCAAACTGAACCAAACTTACAGAAGTGTAAAATGAGGTAAGATATGCAAATAATTAGAATTACAAAACGATTACTCATGCACGGAATGAGAACCCGCCGCTTGTTCCATGTATATAAGAGACTGTAAAGTTTTGTTGAAATCTGTTTATCATCCTCTGTCTATGGGGAATGTTTAATTAGTGGTTAATATGACTCATCAACAGAGAAGGGTGCCATAGAAACAACTACTGGAATTCAAACATGGTTACATTGTCAGTATTCGAGAGGGTGGTCTTTCGTATCGAGGAATCGCCGCCTGCAAGCAATATAATGCCACAACAGTGATGTGTGCTTGGAAAAAATGGACAGAGAAGAACCAAACAAGGCAAAATCCTGGCAGTGGGTGACATGTAATAACACAACAGCATGGTACAATGGACACTTCATATGCTCTGATGGGTCTTACAACATCCTCTTAGTTAGCACAATGTTGGAACATGGCTACAGGTGTTGTATTGTCTAGATCTATGGTTTGCCACCAACTGCTGCAGCACGAACCGCATGCAAAGGTTCTTCCATGTAGGATTCCTCTATCTCTGAATCACAGATGACTCTAACTTCAATGGGCAAGGTAACAAAGTGTGTGGCATGCCCTGCAGCAAAAAGTGTTTTCTCTCATGAATCATGCTACAATGTGTACAAAGATGGAAGAATACGCATCAGGTATTATATAGGGGAATGCCTGCTCCCACAATGTATTATCCAGTGTCATACTACACTAACACCTGGCATCACGATGTGGGGAGCTGTTGGGTATAATTGTCAATCCCATCTAGTACAGATTACAGGCAACCTTAACAGTGATCAACATAAGGGAAGTTGTGGAGCTAGAAGTCCTCCCCATTCTGGGCACAGTATTTCAGCAGGATAATGCCTGTGCTCATGTTTCTGAGACTTCTTTAGGGCAGAATAGGATTCGCTTCTTCCATGGCCTACTTATTCCTCAGCTATGTCACCCACTGAGCATGTCTGGAATTTCAATGGTTAGTGACTCACTCATACAGCTAGTGGGACACACACTAAGACTGAGCTTTGGCACCAGACTGAAGCCATATGGAATACATCCCCCAGAATTACATTCAGAACCTGGATGATTCAATGCCACGATATGTACAAGCTCTCATTGGTCAGGATGGCGGACACACAAAATATTGATTTTCAACATTCATTTTGTTTTTTGTCTTATAAATTTGATCGTGTATTTGTACCACTATCAGTAAATATGTGGATGAAATTTCATTCATTTGCAACATTTGCATATATTACGAACATTAGTGTATAAATTAGGACAAAATAAATAAAAAATTGCTGTTAATACAAATTTTATTTTACAGTGCCTTCCACCTTTTTTTTTTTTTTTTTTTTTTTTTTTTTTGACTCCCTTAAAACATTTTTAATGAATAAATTAATTATGTTCTTCCAGATTAAAATAAAATTAAAAAAATAACACAATAGAAAATGTCTCTGGTGAAATCATGATTTAATTCAAAGATTTGTAATTAAAAGCCTTATGCTACCACATGGCTCACTGAAGGAAAGTTTAAATAAAATGAATATTGTTTAGGAATTTATGGGCCATTTTCGCACTTATTTTGAAAAGGGTGCTCTCTATCTCCATTTGTATATTTACTCTAGAGTACTCTATAATTATTTAGAATGTGGAAGAAACCAGTAAAACAATGGTCATGTATAAAAATAAAAGTGAAAAACAGAAATGTTTGAGCCGAGTTTAATTACAATAATTTAAATGAAAAAAAAAATCTGAAAGCTTTCAGATTTTATATTATGCCCAAAGAGGTGTTTTTCTAATGTTTTGTGTTTTACCTTTATTTATTAAATATGATGTTCTTGCCGCCTTAACCATTAAATTCACTTCAACAACAATATCACAAAATATATAAAAAAGTATATCTTTAGAATTTCAATACACAGTCTTGTGCTGGAGATAAAGTTTTTCGTACAGTGTTGCCACTGCTCGCTTTTAAATCGTCGAATTTCTTAAAAACTCATAAATGCTTTAAAAATATGAAATAGATAATAAAACAAATTCCAAATTTGGGCCTCCAGATGCCCATATTCTGGTAGAGATGTATGTTACTCAAAATTTGATGGCTCTAGGAACCATTGTTTTATCAATTGTTGCAGAAACATACATTTGTGCAGATTCTTCATTATTTAATCTCTTTAAATATAATACAGGGCTCTAATATTTGGTGGCTACAATTTAAAAAGTGATTCGCCGTTTATAGGGAATCGATGCAACATGCCAAAATGAAATGAATAGCCCTTCTGGGCAATTTGCCCCTTTGGGCTAAAAATAGATTCAACTTAGCTACATTGTTGACAAATAAGTTCTGGATAAACTGCATCTATAATAGGTAGAGAAGATCATAATTTTTAATTAGAATTACAGCATAGTGACTAAAATAGGTTAAAAGCTGAAAACCAATATGAAGATTTGTCACTTGTTTATCAAAAAAATGCAATACATTTTAAACAAAAAATCCATTATTAACACAAGAAATATTATGCCAACAATTCAAAATTTGAATATAATTAACATTTATGTTTCAAAATAATTATGATGTTATTTTAGAAACTGAACCAAAAGATTAAGCTTTAGGAAAATATGAATTTATTTTTTGCCTCTCGAATGTTCTAAATTTCATTTCCAATTTTTAATATGTTTGGAAAACTTTGTCTAAAAAAACAAATATGTATCTATGAAAAAATGCAATACTGAGAAATACATTTGCATTAATATGTATTTAATGAAAAATGCAAATTATCATCCAGTAAATAAACAATGCAGCTTACCTTTGCCACAGCGTAAGAAAAAAGGTACACCATCCCATCTCTCATTGTTGATAAAACAAGTAGCCATAGCATAGGTTGGAGTGACAGAATCATTAGGAACAGTGGGATCATCTAAATAACCTTCTTTACCTTCACCATCAAGCTCAGGATTTCCAATATACTGACCTAAGACAACATTGTCGAGCTTAATTTCTTCCATAGAGCGCAAGACTTTAACCTATGATGAGAAAATTCAGAATGCAGATTAATATTTTTATTACTTAAATTGTAAAAGTATTTACATTTTTAAAAATCAAATAATAATCGATAGCAAGTCTTACCTTCTCATCTCTAATATCTTCAGCTGAAGTAGTTACAGGTTTCTCCATAGCAACAAGGCACAAAATTTGCAATAGATGGTTTTGCATAACGTCCCTATTCAAAATAAAAACATAAGAATAAAATTTAAAAAATTTACAGACTATATCAAATGGCAGACATTTTCTTTTAAAATAATATAGGATTATGCAAATAGGCTAATTGCTTCAAAGTTGTTTAATAGAATGGATTGCTTTAGATATTACTATGATGAATCGATGGATGTACTATAATAAATATGAGAAATTCTCAAAGATAAAATGAATGATAATATTTCCCTAAAACTGAGCAGATGATACACCAGTGAGAAGTCCTGTTATTACCTAGCATCAACAAAACCTTTTAGTTTGAGGGGTGTTGTCTTATGCCAATGAATTTCTTTTTCCAGAACTATGTCAAAAACCTGTCTGGTAAAATGGCATATGGTAATAAAGATTCACAATCTTTAGGATCTATAACAAGACTGTGCAGCCATCACAAATGAAACTACACTGTTCAGCAAAATTGGTGGGAAACTAATTGCAATTTAAGTTTTGCTAGGCAACAAATAGCGAAATTAACAAAACCTACAGTGAATATAAGATCACAGACATATTTAAATCAGTAGTTTGACACAAATGCAAATGTTTATGTTCTGTTTTTAAACTGTAATAGTCTCTCAAGTCTTTCTCAAGTCAAGAATTTTTTTTCATATTCCTCATAGATAATAAAATAAGTTTTTGATTTTAATATTTATGATAGTGACATTGCATTTAAGAATATTTAGGATAGTATTGAGGCAAAGTATTTAACAAAACTGTGATGAAGTAGCGTCTAGATATTTACATATAGTATATTGCATGAATTATTCGAAAAACTAATACTAGCATATAAAAGATACCTTATTATTCCAAAATTATCAAAATATCCTCCTCTGCCTTGAGTTCCAAAGGGTTCTTTAAAAGAAATCATGACGTTAGCAATATTGTCACGATTCCAAATTGGTCCAAAAATGCGATTTCCAAATCTATATTAAAAAAATTAAGACATGAGTATTTAACGTATCAAATGCAGATACATTTTCAAAGATTTTTTCCAAATGATGAAATAAAACCTTGAGTAAAAAAATTTAATAAGTTCACAAACAAAACTGAATTCTAATTTACCAAAGGTTTTAATGAGTAAATGCATGAGAATAATATAAACAATTTTCTAAGAAAGTCATAATGAAAACATGAAACAAATATTAAAATTGTACAGATGTTACAAAAATGCTTTGATAATTATTTAATCATGACAAAGCACATGAACACTGGGTTTTCCCAGTTTCATCCCAGATTTTGATCAACTGCACTAAAAAGTAATTGAATCATTTTGATTTTGTATCCCCTCTTACTTATCACCAGTTCTTGAGAGAGGAAAATATTTCAAAGAGATAGAAATATTGTAAAAGATAAATGTTGCATACCTCATTTTTAATTCATAGAGTGAATGATCAAACATTAAAATTAAACTAAATTAATTAAAAATTTAAAATGGCAATCATATCAAAAATTATAATTATAAAACAGAACATTAAGAACAGTCCTATAAGGTTAAAATGCCATTTGATGAATAACAGCTTAACTTCATAGTTACATATAGTGTGAGTGATTATTTCTCAGTGATGTAAAGACTGTTACTGAGATTAAATTTGCTAAAACTCTTTAGTTCAAAAAACGAACACTTTCAACAAATGTTATCTAACATATTTCAAATGCATATTATATTGAATATTCATAAAAATTATCAATTGCAGCTGAAAATATGACATATAAAAGATTGTTCTAAAATACTCTTAACTAGCTTTAGTCACAAATTAAAATATGAAAGAAACAGACTATTGAACAAAGACATAGAAAGACAATGAAGATCAATTAAACCATCAGGACTGACTCCAAAATATAGGTGACATAAGTAGCTACCTGCAGCATTAATTTTCAGAAGGTGTCAGCTAAATTGTTTTCAAAGTGACAAGAGAATAAAGATGCATTTTACTTTGAATTATTAGCATATTTAATTTATGGAAAGTCCAACTCTACTTATCACATTAGGACATGAAAATGCTACAGCTGGGCTTGCCAACTATCTAATCATTTAAAATTTAAACTTTTACACATCTATGACTGAAAGATGCTATATTTACTTTGAACATGGTTCATTACGAAGGTACATTAGTTACTACAAATAATTTTAATAAAAATTCGGAAAAATCAAACAATACTTCTGGCAGATAAATAAATATAAAATATGTAAATTTTCCTAGAACAAAAGTGTTGGTGCTTTTTTTTCAAACATATGAATAATACTCTCAGTTTTCAATGACATCCTGCTTTATATAATAAAAGGTAGGTATAATAATCTAATTTACAAAAGTGTCGGTGCTTTTCGAACATATGAATCTACAATCTGTTTTCAAAGACATTTTGCTTTATATATAATAAAAGGTAGGTATCATAGTCTAATTTACAAAACACAATCATATGGTATTTTGTGAACCATAAAGAAAAGTAAAAAGATGGCAATACCAGGATTGCCAAAAACAGATAAAAAAAGGCCCAAGAAATTTTCATGACCATATTACTCTGAATTTATTATTGAAGTTTCATAGTCAAAGAAATGAAGAACATTAGTATTTATGTGTTTAAATGATCCCTTAAAAATTCTATCTACAGATAATATAAGCAAAGAAAAGTTACTGCTGTTTCAACACAATATACAAAAGTGCTTAATGGAATTTTAGACATCAATAAACACTGCACCTATGTTTGCTCACTTACTCAAAAAAAGGGGAGGCTTCCCAGAAGATTGCAGCACAGTTAAAGAACTGATATACAATAAAAGTTACGACTGATTATTTGATTATAGGAAAACATGCATTGGCTACTTACCTTTTGAGAACAGCCTTCATAAACAGCTCTCTGAAGCACTTTATAAAGACATGTTAACTATCACACATGCAGCTCTAGAACCTGATTATCATTTACATAACTTATGACTACAGATTATCACACTTGTACCTTTCTGGGATAACCAAATATTTCAACAGTGTTTCTTTGCACTAAACTAAAGATGCATTCTCCCCTCCTATACAGATAAAGTTAGAAGTTTCAATAAAAGTGCTGTTTCGTACCAAAGGGGAAGAAAAAAAAAAGATAAAATTGTTTCAAAGTAGCGTTTATTTTAAAACATCAAACTGTATAAAATAGCTTCAACAATGTTGGCTCATTTACAAATAAGTTTCAGATACTAAAAAGCACACACAAAAAAATAGTGTTGCCAGTATGCTCCACTGAAAATCACTGAATTAAAGCAAAGCTCAGCCAATAAAGAAATAAATAGCAAAATCCTAAATTTGAATTTACTCTTAATTTCATGATCTTGATGTGAATAGAAACAAGAACATTTTTTACTTGATGAAAAATACACTTTCTTTCAATATTTGATAATGAAAAAATTAATATGCTGTGTATATTTTAAAAATTAGAATAGTCAGAGGAAAATAATGCATATTAGTCATACAGTCCCTCTTTGGTAAGAATTACCTTCCCAAGATGACTTCTTCTGAAAGTTACCAGTATTTCTAAGAAAACTTAACAAATACCGATACTGATAATTATAATATAATTCTCAAAGTAGATTATTTGCTAATCTAATCACATATATTACATTAAAGACACCCCCAAAATGTCTAATTTTACTATTAAACAAATATTTTATGCTCTTTCAAATCAAGCAATTGTAATTAAAATTTTTACCATAATAAGAAAATTATTCTCACTAAAATCAGTAATTATTAATTTTTGAATCATTGATTTATCCCTCATAGTGTAATTTATCATGCAAGCTTGATTCAGCAGTTATGAGACAGCATTCTTTAAATGATTCATCCCATTCAGAAGCTTCTCAAATTCTTTTGTCTGTACAGCTGGTAAAATATAGCAAACCAAATTTCAAGGTTCTAAGGTAGCAGTTCATTTCTGTTTTTGACATTATCAAAATTGGTCATATTTATTCTGAAGCTGATAATTCAGTGCATATAGAATTATGGTATTTGTTTTAAATTTTATAGTGTTGAATAATACTTCACACTGAGATGTTTAGAAAACCTGAGACTAAGATACCTGAAAAACAGGATGTAAAAGCATTAAATTTAAAAACATGACAAAAAGTTAATGAAGATGTTGCTGGAAGTTTATTACACTGAAAGATGGCAGACAAATATGATACATGGTTGATAATAATAGTTGATTAATTTCCTGGATTTAAAACTGTTTTTAGAAAAGAAAATGTTTAACAAAAATGGAAATCAAACAGGCAGACTTCATAGGATCAATACTTTAATTAATATGCACAGTGAGTGCTTTTGAAATTTCTCAAGAAAAGTTCTAATGTGGGTTTTCTGTTTTTTCTTTAAATATACAACTCTTTTACTCTTTAATACTTAAAATTATTATTCAATTAGTTCTTCAGAAAATTAGAGTAAGATAATTTTTTTTAAACTTTTTGTTGCATATATTTAATTGTAATTTTATTCATATAAGAATATTATAATATTAATACACTGGTATATCACATTTCTAAATCAATGTTTTTTCTTCAAACGACTGAAAGAGTCTTGAATATGTAAATCCTATACAAACTGATAATTGCATTCAGTGCTAGCAATCTTCTCCAAAATGGCTATCTCCATAGAAAATCACAATCGTTTGAAACTGCATTTTAGAGAGAGCTTACTATATTAAGTTTTGTACATTGTAATCTGAAATGAAAAAACAAATATTATTCAATATACCAATATATTGTAAATTTATAGGACTCTACTGCTGTACTTACCTTAGAGCCATTAAATTCTGAACCATTTCTTTGCCTAGGTAATGATCAATGCGGTAGATTTCTTCTTCAGTGAATAATGATGATAAATGTTTAGACAACCCGGCAGAACTTGCGCTATCTTTTCCAAATGGTTTCTCAATGATAACACGTGTCCACCCCCTATGTGATTATACAATTATAAGAATAATGAATCAGGTTAAGAGCTGAGAATAATTACAATTCTGAAATATTCAGTTTATTAACCTAATTTGCACAACATACAGTGCTCTTTTTTATAAAACGTGAGGTAAAAAAATAATCTAACATTATAAGACCACTCAAACTTTAATAAAAATAACAGATTCTCTAATGAAAAGCTGATACTGAGAATAAAGAAATTAAATACTCATATCTTTGTTATTAAGCATAAAAAACCTTTCTTTATGCATTGAATAACTTCATACTCAGTGAAAACAGCACTTATTGTTCGCTGAAAAAAATCTGGAAAAAGGAAATCTTGAAAAATGCCTTTTTTCATAGCAAAAAGCTTAAGAGTGCTAATCTATTTGGAGGTAGTAAATAGGTTGAAACATGACAACAGATTCTTCTAGTTTTGTTAAGGACAGAAGAAGAAAATATTAGATCAACTATTAAATTAATTACAGTTCATAAAATTTTGAAATTTACAGATAATTTATAGCAGTGCTTGAATTCAGCCTAATCCCGGTGCCTTTTCAAATTGAGAAAAAGCCATATTTCTTAATGCGATGATTTCTAACACTTTATTACATAATTAAATTTCCATATTGACAAAAATTTTTGCTATTTATGCAGTATTTCTTTAGAAATTAGTAAAACCAGTACCATATATGGGGATGACCTAGATGATGAAGAACAGACCAAAATGTGATCCTTTTAAAAAAAGTGGAATATTTTTGGGTTGTATCCATTTGATCAAGAAGACTTGAAACAGTTAACTAATGGCATAGAATACTGTTGCGCTGGAGCTACTTCTATTCTTTACTTTTGGTACTACCATTAATTTACTCATATTTCATTCTTCCTATTATTTTGTTCAATTTTTAATGATGCATATATTTTAACTTACTTTAACATATTTATATCGTTTTACTCATTAGTATACGTACTGTTATTTATAAATTTTTTCATCTTTCTTAATGGACATTCCCTGGCTCTAGCACTGTGAGTTTTAACAGTTTCTCATAAAAAAAAAATCAAATACTTTAAGAGGCACGCTACTAAAATATGGTGGATGGTAATTCGTCCTCCCCTGGATGTGGCGACTGGTTCTCGTTCTTCCTCTTCTCAGTTGTCCTTAAAGTAAGGGAGAATGCAAAGAGTTATTGCATTCCCCTAGCATGCTCTCGTGTTATTAATTGGTAGTACATTCGGCTGGCAATTGGAAGATGTGTGGTTCGAATTCTGGCAAGGGCATAGATAAGCTTTCTTATTTTCTAGCTCTGAGAGATCTAATTAGCTGTAAAAACATTTCTCAAAAACTTACAAAAGAAATTATGATTGATACTTTTTCTTCCAGCAAAAAATTCTGGTTAAACATAGGAATAAAAAAAAAAAAGTGAAGAATTTAGGATAACATTACATAATTTAGAAATGGAATTAGGTGAAAAGGTATAATAAGAAAATTTTACCCATGCTTCTTGTTTGATACTGCTATAGCAAATAGCAATCAAACAGTAAATCTGTTTCGTTTCCACAAATTAGTAAACGAAAGCGGGGGAGGGGAAACCTACTTTGCCATTAAATAAAAAACAATCAATCTAACAAAATGTAATACTTTTGAACCAACAATACACATAAGTTATTAGCGCCTTTTAAAAAAACTGAAAAATGTTCTGATTTTAGTCTTACATCTCAAAGAAGAATTTAAAAAATAAATAAAACGATCCGAAAGCCTTCAGATTTTACATTATGCGCAAAGGGGCATTTTTTTTAACGTTATTTATTAAACATGTACTTCGCACTTAAACCATAAAATTCAATTCAACAGCAATACCACAAAATAATTAAAAAGAACATATTTTTAGAATTTCTGATAAACAGTCTCGCGCGCTGGAGATAAAATGTTCCCCCTGGCTCCCCTCTACAGTGTTGCCATTGCTCGCTTTGAAATCGTTGAGTATGTTCATCAAAAATTCGTTAAAGTTTTACAAAGTATGAAATAGATAATAAACAAATTCCAAAGTTGGGCTTCCAGATGCCCATATTCGAGTGGAGGACTACGTTATTCAAAATTTGATGTCATTTTAGGTACCATTGTTTTTTCACAATGCCAAAAAGACATACATTCATGTAGATTCTTCATTATTTAATTTCTTTAAACATAATACAGGGTGATAATATTTGGTGGCAACAATTTAAAAAATGATTAGCCATTTATAGTGAAATGCCACAAAAGGCCGTTTTGAGACTAGTAGACTTTTCTGGGCAAATTGCCCCTTTGTGCTAAAAATACATAGAAAATTAATATGTAAAAAACCCACACGAATGTTAAACTTCCCTTCTCAAACACAATAATATCTATTGCTGCAAACTCATGAAGCTAAATCTTTACCTTTGAGTAAAATAATAATAATAATAAAACTTTAAAAGAATTTCTGTTTAAAACTCATTTCTCAATAGAAACAAAAAATATTAAAATATAAAAAAAAAAACAATATGCTATCATTTGAATAAAATTTAAAACATAATAGACGATTTACAATCCATACACTTGTACAAAAGTTCATTAAAATTATTAAAATTTACTGTGGATGCAGATGACAACCAATTCAAGCAGTACTATCAGAAACTTCAGAAACAATTCGCAATCAGAAACAATTCGCCAGTTATACAATTTTAGAAACCTATTTTTGTTAAATAGCATTTGTGAAATATTGTTAAGAAGTCTAAGGTAAAATGACTTGTTATCTTGTTAAATGATTTATGCTGTAGTGTAGACTTTCTTAAACTGTAGGTCACGGCACCTGCAGCAGGGGGGGGGGTCGACAAAAATTTAACAGCTTTGATATTTCTTTAACTTGTTATAATAATTTTACAATTATCAAATATTTTTACAGAATGTATCCGAAAATAGATAAAGATAAGACAGTACAGACAAAAAAAAAAAAAAAAAAAAAAAAAAAAAAAAAAAAAAAAAAAAACACCGTTTCGACGTGTTCTTTTGATAATATTTATTTTATTTTTCTTGCTTTGCACGTGATCCCGCTTTGCACGCTATCATTTCGTGTGTTACTTATTTAAAATTTTCACATTGTTTTATGTCTTAAAATTATAAATTAAAGTTAACGACCGAAAACTGCAATAGTATATTACAGTAAAAGTGAAAAAATTGACAGTTTCACTCACGCGTGTGTCGGATTTGCGCAATACTTATGGGGGTCCCACAAAATTCTTGTAAATATATGGGGTCCTGGGGGTTGCGAAAAATCTCAGTGATAAAAATGTGTCGCAACTAAAGTTTAAGAAACCCTGCTATAGTGCACTTATAATATAATATTGAAGATAAATGCCCTACCTTATACATCTTTGTTAGCAAGAGCTTCAATTTATTACAAATTAAAAACAATAAAACCAAACCAAAGAAGTTTCCCTTCAGTGCGTTTACGAGAAGAATCAGATTCTCAAAAATAGTCAAGAAGCCATCAACGTTTATCTGCTGTTCTACGTCGATTAAGCTATTAGTATCTGCCTGAGAGAGATGCTTTTGGGCATTTTCTAATTAAAGGAAAAAGTAATTTATAACAGCATCTAAAGGCAATCTCGGACCATGAATGCATGATCTAATCATCTACCCTTAGCAAAAAACAGTAATCAACAAATTCATAGATTGGATCGGCGAACAATTTTCATCTCAACAAATAGCATCACAACCCAAACGCTACAACTATCTATCGTTGATCACTGTATTATATACTAGTTTTCAGCAAATTCAAAATCTTGTTACTGTCCTTTCTTACTTCAACACTTCTAATTTCAAAGAAAAAAAATTCAGCTGACACCAGAAATTTCGATGACTTGTCAAAAATTTTTATGGCCCAGTTGCAAATATGTTCTTAATCTTCGATGTGTTAACGTCCTAGTTCTTCCATGACATTCGATCCCCCCCCCCCAAGAATCTCTGGGATTTACAGAACAGGGAAATAGCTCTAATATTTGCTTTGAATTTTTTTAAGGTGGCAGCTAAAAAATATCCTAACACAGGTCCCTTATATCCTTAAATTGGTAAGTTTAAGGATACAAGAGACAAGCCTTTGCACTGGTATTTATATTTATAGAGACTTCCATTAAAATCGGAATTTTTTTCATATTCGATTAATAGGAAAACATTTTTTCTGGAAACATGATATCTCAAGTTGTAGATTTAATAGGGGGAAAAAAAACTACTTACACTGCTTTGGGCAGGGTCTCGTACCCATTAGACAGCCTAGTTCACTCAAGTCGTGAAATTACTAAAAATAAGCTTGTGTAACGTGGATATGGTTAGTTCCCCCAGAAAGCATTCCCTTTAGGCAGATAGCCTTCATGTGCTTTGCCATAATCAATCAAAAATCAGCCAACAGGGGTGAGATGGAAAAAGAGGTCTGGAACAAGCTTCTCTGGATTACGAACAGCTACCCCCTCCTTTCCTTACCACACCATCAGTGGATGAAAAATGGCTATACACTAGTGTAATGGTAAAAAGTAGGATGCCCATTATATGCCGACATTTGAATGCAATGATAAAGAATATTGTGGCAGCTATATGGAGGCATACAAATGCAAAGGATTAATGCAGAGTCCACCAGAAAAAGATAAAGTTTAAGGGGGGGGGAACCTACATATCATATTTCTCATTACATTTAATTATTGTTCAAATATGTGTTACAAACCTTCAAAATAAGCATATGTTTACATTAGATGTTCAAAATGTTGGCCGTTGGCAGCCAAACACCTAACAGAACGACGAGCGGGCGCTGCAGCTACATCGGTTAATGTAGCAACGGAGACAGATGCACATGCCTCTAATTTTCTGGCGAAGGTTTTCGAGCGTGCGCGGCTTAATTCGATACACTTCATCTTTCACAGTTCCCCACAAGAATTCCATGGAGACAAGACCTGACGAATGGGTAGTGAACTCAATGGGAACTTCGTCCAATCCA